AACCATAAGACAAAAAGACAAATGATGGCTCTATGTTGCCGTGAGTGGTCATCATATCAAATGTCCAAAATTACGTCAGGACTGTAAATTTGCTCTTTGGGACGAGGAGAATTTAGTATTTTGTAAACATTTGCTGAAATGTGAGCTACAACCTCCTGATTAACCGCAACATTTATTTAAGATCAGGAACCATGATAAATTAGAACTGGAGACATTTCCTTCAACATGTTTCTATTTTTCATCAAAAAAAAAAAACTCTGCTTCTTTACCCAGGACTGAACAAAATTCAGTTTTATCATTTATAGTATTCAATCTGAACTTGAATATCCTCATACTTTCCTCAGTACAAATCCTCTCAGTGCAACACCTATGTTCAGGTAGGTACCACAGAACTCTGTACCCCACGCAGCGCCACATGAAGTTTTGGTCATTTAATTTATGGCATGTGAAATTCAGAATCTAAAATATGGGACGTCATGGTGATCGCAGCGGTGTACGGTGCTTACCATGAAACGGCGACATTCATTTCTTTTCACCCTTTACTGACATCTAACAAAAGCAAAATGCCAGAAAAATAAACTTTAAAGGCACTGACCATTACTTTTAATGTAGCGACAGATGTTGCTGCAGTTACTCACAGATGTTGGTGACTTTAATAGCAGTCACCACTGGATTATAAAGTCTCGGCCATAGATAGAGGTGCACTTAAAGAGCAGATGTGCCCGTCTGTGTGTACAGGGTGTCGTATTTGAGCACCTGTAATCGTTATTAGTGAAGGGCTACACATTCCACTGCACTAATTACAGAGTCGAGGCATTGTATGCTTTGATTTCACTCGACCCTGACTGTGCTACAACCACAGTGCTGCCTCCACCCCCACCACTCCTACCTTTTCCGTCTCCCTCTCCAGCGTCACACGTGTACAGTTTGTCTGCACATCTTTCATCCAAACCCCATCATCCCATTACTCACATCTACCTTATTCAAACAGCGCTAAACCAACACTCACACGGCAGAGTGGGTCCAGTACCGGTTGTTGCCGGGTTGCTCTGGCAGATTCCTCTGTCACAACTTTCTGCTCATTAAAACCTTTGAGCGTGCGAGGCTGCCTAGCAAACTTCGGTGCAGTGCTTTGTTGCTGCAGTTGTGGTCACCTACACTAAAAGGGTTGAACAGACAGTTAAAGGCTCAGCGTGGTCCCTGCACTAAACTCTCTGTGGTGCTACAGCACGCTCTGAACAACAAACAAACAAACAAACTTCAACATATTTATCCCACATGTAAAATGCACTTCTTAGAAGTTGCAGTTCAGGCTACGTCCACACGACTTTATTTTTATAATTAAAATCTCAATGTTTTTTTATCCCGGTCCACACTGCTGCACCTATGAAGACACGTCTTGTGACTGTCATGCTTTTGTTTCCTGGTGAGAAACTTTCCTGAGATGATAAGATGGGATTTTAACAGATTAAAACCAAATTGATGTTGTTGTTTTTTTTACCCCTTTTGTTGATGTACATATATATATATATATGTGTGTGTGTGTGTTTCTTTAGATGAGTCCCAGAAATAACGGTTTAATGTATTAGTAATTCTCAGGTTTCCATTGGGAACGTGCAGTCTGTGGTGTGTTAGAGTCAGTGGTTGCCTGCTGTTACGGGAGTCTCAACAATCCTGCAGCGTTTCCTAACATCAAAGCACGTCTTCCTGTTGCCAGCCTGGACCACTCTGAGTGGATAATCCTGACCTGCCATCGTCTCCCATGTTGAAATAGTGGCTCCATCAAGTAGTTACTCTTTCAAAGTCCTCTATTCTTCAGGATTCTGTAGAGAAAAAAAAAGTTTTTTTAGCTGTTTTATAATTAAACTCAAGTCTAAATGAACATCATAATTTCAGTCAACAGAACTTGGCAGACGTTTACACACTCCACTTTAAACACCCAAGAAATCCTCTCTGCTCTGCAACCACTTTCTGGAAACATCGGTAAAGACGGCTCATGTTTTCCTTCTATGTATCTGCTCCAATTATGCATTAGTGGCTTTGTAAATGTGCTTCAGTCCACTCTAACTTCTACAGTGATCTATCAGTCACCCAGCAATATGTAGTGCTGCAAACATCTGAACACGTCTGGGCCTGGACCTGCCTGGTTAGTCCCCACACAGAGCTTCTCATCTCAGGTGACGTCTGGACATGAAATAGTCTGTTTTAAGTTCATCTGTTTTAAGATAATCAACACCTGGTCTCGCTCAGGACCAGGTTTGATAATCTGCTGTGTTCCTCTCTGTGTGTAGCATCGTCTTTTACCCGAGTTAATAATTGTAATTGTTAATTCAAACTTGAAACAAGCGTTGTGTAAGTGTTAATTCAAACTTGAAACAAGCGTTGGCTTATACTCAGTGTTTTGACCCCCAGTATTTCAAACATGTTAGACAACATTCATGTTACACCAACTGCACAGTTGTAGGTCAGTCGGCGGTTGTCAACAACACTAAGTGGTCAAAACAAGCAGTCAGTCGTTTTCTGGTTGCATTCCTTTACCCTGAAGCAGAGTTGGATGGAGAAAGTATCGCTTGGCTGCGTTTGCTGTATTGAAAAGTTTAGGTTGGAAACGTGCTCTTAACCTCATGTACCAATGCAATGGACTTTTACCACCTTTATTATGCCGCTCATTAAAATTAACTGTTGAGCTGTAAAATACGATTTTTCTTCCCCGTTTCTGTTGCCTTCTGGATTCCTACTCCTTTTTTCAATTTCTACTACCGCCTCAATTTTAGTTTTGTCTTTGTATCTTTAATGTTAAAATACGTAGATTTCCAAATAAGGAAGACGGGAGTAAATCAAGACTAACTGTAGCAATTTATTCAAACACACTCGCGTTACGAGCCAAACTAAATGCACCGAGGTTGGAAAGTTGTGCACATTTTTAATATGGCTATGTAACAAATAGCAAAGGAGAACCGAACGTTTTGGATAAAAATAATCCATCTCTGTAGGGTGTCACATTTATATGTCAAGCTGTCTGAACCTCTATAATTATGATTTTTATGAGTCCATATTAGACCCTACGTTTTAAACCGAGCAAGTCATTGCGAGGCCCTCACTCCACTGCCGACAATCATTTTCATTAAATTCAGCATATTTTTAAGAGCTCCTAAAAAGTTGACCTAGCCACTTCAAAAAGAAGACCATCCATCAATATGCCGTTTGATCAGTCTACCAGCCCTTCTTGCCTCTTCACATCAGCACTTTTAACACACATCATTATTGAACCTTACCTCAAGATCCCGTCTCCTGAGGTGACGACCTGCCTTGTTGGTCTGGGCCACAGTCCTGCTACACCATCAAACACTGAGCTCCTGTCTATTAAAATGCAAAGAATGATGATCAATCCATGTTCTCCACCATTCACCTTTGCCTGACTTCTGTGTGGAGGCCTAGAGTTTGGACTTTAATAGGCAGTTGGGGTCAGGTGGACAAGGTCTTCAGGATTATTTGAACCTAAATCTGCCCTCAACTTCACCTTGAAAACACAAAACCCAAGAACCCCAAGTGAATTACCTTGATCTGTATGGATGATGGCATAGGCTAAGTTTGTTTTTCTACAGCTAACTTGTGTATCTGCTTGTTAAATTTAAAATTATATATCAAGGGCTTCTATTGAACGTGGGCTAAAAGCAGTATTTGTAGCCTCCCAGACAGGGCCCTGTCGGTTCCCCTGGTGCCGACGTTGTTCTCGTCTTTCCCATTATCTCCTGCTTCCTTGGCCATGCTGTCTGGTCCCTGGCTTTTATGGAAGGGTAGATGAGGGCCATGAGGAAATGAGGTGACCCCAAGGTCAAATATGGAGTCGGGGGGTTTGGAACTGGAGCACAGTCTTGGCAACCTCACACTTTCAGGGCCAGGCCAGGTCCAGGTCAGGCATAGCAAAGGAGGCTAGTGGTGACCGAGGACCTGGTCTCTCCCCGTCCTTGACTTCAGTATCATATGGCTTTGATTACGCCTAAATTTAGTTTGTTTACAAGTCCAAGTAGTCTTAAATCTTCCAGGTCACCTCTGTTTCTGTGTCCCTTCATTCTGCCGTCCCTGTAGCCCAGCTTCTCTTCTCCTCTTTAATATGGTGTCAGACATCTATTTATTGTGCTGTTTTAACTGGTTCTCAGGAACGTGTTACAAGCTACTTGGGAATCCACCAAGAAGGGTTTGAGGACAGCCCTCTAGGATGTTAATCTGTTAGGAAAGGCTGCTCACCCCACTAAACTCACCTTCCACTGGAGCCCAGGGTCTCTTTATGGCCCCATCAGGCACCCGCTTTGACGACTTACTGCTTGACCTCCTGACCTGGCAGTTGAAGCCATATAAGAAGGGAATCTTTCTCTTGTCACATTACTTCCTTTGCTCTCACTTTTGTCTCCCTTTCACTTTCACATTTCCCTTCGTGGTGAAAGTATTCGTAAATTCTTGAAGTTGTACAGTTCGTGTCGTACGGTTCGTCTTTTCATGTTTTTTTTTATTGGTCACTTAAATGAAACTCACATCTATGACTGTGAAATCTAACCAGGTCATTTTGTGGGACTTTTTTGTTGGGTATTCGTGTAATTGTATCTCTTATTAGGGCACTAATGTGGGGACCTCTCACTAACAAGCACCATTTCTCATGGCGCCCTATGTAAAAGATTTACACACAGCTCATGAGTACAGTTTCATCGTGTTAAAATTAGATGTAACTCCAGCACTGTTGGTATTTTAGCAGCTGAATTCTGCTACAGAAGTCTCAGTCCTGGGGAGTTTGCTGCCTAATGACTTTGGTTGGCTTAAATAAATGTTTGGGTTGTCTGTTGTGCTTTAGGGGCTGTTAGCAGCAGCAGCTCATGTTAGCAGAGCTAATGGCAGGAGGGAAATTAAAAGATAAATGAACTTCTACATTGATACATTTTCGGTAGTTTCTGGCTTATGTAAAATGTTTTCTCATGAAAGATTTTAATACATTATTTTTACTGCAGATTCCAAATCCAGAGGGGAACAGGGGACCCCAACAGCTACAAGAGCCTTGGTGACTGCTTTCGAACCATCTTCCGTAACGAGGGGTAAGTAATCCATCAAACCTTTTGCCATCTAATATTTTAAAGCGTTAAGTAATCCATTAAACCTTTTGCCATCTAATATTTTAAAGGTCTGTCGTACACTATTGAATCAGATCAGACTCTGATGCACCTTGGGTAAATTACTGCTATTCATATGTGAATTCAACTATCTAAACTTTAATGCACAGTGTAGCAACAGACAAAGAATATTTAAAAATATATATATTGTATTTTCTGGACTATAAGTCGCTCCAGAGTATAAGTAACACCAGCCAGAAAAGTGCAGCTTACAGGAGCAGCAGATACTGGTACACAAGCCTGGAGTGCCCTATCACGGCTGTCAGTGTGAAAATAACAAACATGTGAAATCATATATATTTAAATATATAAGTCGCACCTAAGTATAAGTCGGAAACCCAGACGAAGGTTGAAAAAAAGTGTGACTTATAGTCCAGAAAATATGGTATGTCTCTTAATCTGTCCACACAGACTTTTCTGTAGTTCCATTGTTGTGGTAACAACAGATAGTTCAAAAATACACAAGGAATAATAGATTTAGATTCAGGTGCAAAGTGTCAATGGTCAAATGCATTGTTCTACAAAAAACTGAAATTGGGACAGACACTGAATGAAAGTCTATCTGTGTCAGTTAATGTTCCCTCAGTAGAGCAACAGACAGAAGGAATAATAGATTTAGATTCAGGTACAAAGTGTCAATGGTCAAATGCATTGTTGTGGAATAAGTAATTAAAGTTACAGACAGATAAATAAAATGAAAACCACATTCGTCCCAGCTCGGGCGTTAAACTTTCCTAACCAGTTATTGATCTTCTTCCCGTTTTCACGGTCTTGTGATGCAGATCTCGGTCGAGGCATGGGCACTTTCACAGGGAATCATTTCTTTTTTCCTGTGTGTTGCTAAAACTTTGGCGGTGCCATTTATCAGCCCGTTGGGTTTTAACACCTCAGAAACGACAGTGTCCACCAACACTTTGTAACTCCCACAATGGCAGGAGTACAGTAAATATAATTGACTGAAAACCACAAGTAAAGATGGTCGCCCTTCCACACTCCCTCCTGTGAGGCCTGCACAGTGACAGGTCTGTGAGACGGTGCAGGCCTAGGAGAAAGTGGTTGCCACTCGCTCTGTTTACGGCGAGTCGACAGCTTTACGGCGGATATAAAGTTGATCTGCCGCGAGGCGTGAGCAAGCACGGGGTGAGAGGCCAACCTGGGACTGTTGGAAATCCTCCGTTGGCAATAGTTCAACGGCCACGGGTACAGTACAACAGAAGCCGTGCCTCACACACACATACACACACTCGCGGTGTGAAACCGAACACCCGTGTGTCTGCATGCGGGTGTGTCCTTTGGGAATCCTTCTCAAACTTGACACAGTTGTAAGGTGGCCAAATTACACAGCATCAACTGTGACTGCTGTTGGACTGCGCTGCAGCAGCACAGCCGTGGCATTCATGTCCCCAGTGACAGAAGATCCACTTCATGTCAACCAATTATCACCAAGCGTATATTTTTCTTGGGGCTGTGATTATTTCCTAGTAGCATGTTCAGTCCTAGCTGCAGGCTAAACCACTTAGTTCTAATCTATACAAATAGTGCTGGGCTGCACTGTTGAAGAATTATTATTAAAAATATACAAGCCTGAGCTAAAACCAGGCCTCACTCCGTCAGAGACGTTGAGGGAGGAAACCTGAGCTCTTAGTTCCTCCTCACTGACTCAACCGAAGAAAGACGATGAAACGTCCACATGTGCGACCCTCCCTTTTTAAACTCAGAAACAATAAATAGTTATTGTTTCGGTTTTACTGTCTGAAAAGAGAAAAGACAATAATCTGTCAACGCTTCAATATAGAGTTAGAAAAATCTGGATAAAAAACATTCAATATAGAGTTATAAAAATCTGGATAAAAAAACAAACAAAAAAAAAACAAAAACAAAAAAAAACAGGAGTGAAAATCTTGTTGGTATTTGAATTGGGAAAAAAAATGTTAGTACTGAGTTAAGCAGCATTTCCCACGGCACATATATATCATGAGGAATAGACAATCAATAAATCATAGTTTTCAGCCCAATGGTGGAATTGGATCATTTACGGCACATTAGTGGGCCACGGCACAGAGGTTGGGAATCGCTGGAGAAAAGGGACACTGGACAGGAAGTGTAAAAAAGGGATGATTATGATTGTAACTAATGGAACAGGGTTGTCTCCAGTTGGGACCACCCATGTTAACCCTGCACAAATGTCTACGTATGTCACTATTGAAGACAAATGTAAAACACGTCCCACAGATTATACACATGTTTTCATGTTGACGGCCATCGTTTGCATCATCAGAAGACACAGCAAAAGGGATTTGACTTTTTTTTTGAAAATATCCATATAGGCCTGTTACAGTCTATCTGAAATGTTATATTTCCATAATTTAAGAATCGCTTCTAGGAACTGAGAGCAAGTTGCTTTCAATTTTTTCAGATTTAGAGAAAAAAAAATTAATGGAGCTAGGTCAAAACCGGAGGTAAAGCTGCAGAGTCTTACATCCACACAGACAGCTCTTAACATGTTTTATTTTTATAAAAATCAGACCCCTTTAACGTAACTCATCCGTCTGTGACCATTTGGATTTGCCTGCTTCTGAGGTTTGGCTGTTAGCAAACTAATCAGGACACGTAGAAGCTGAGAAAAGTTTCTCAGATGTTAGTCAGATTGGGTGTGTGCCTAAATTTGACCTTTTCATTCAAATTTACCAACATCATCATTTTCACTGCTGATGCTAAACATTTGTAAACTGCTCCACTTCTCTGCTCCCTCTCACCAATGGTCACACCAGCCAAAACTCACAAGTCATTAGCCCTGCACTCCTCCCATACATCAGTGAATTAGTCTTTGTTTGTGAGAAAACTTCTTTCTTTCCCATGTGGCTTTGCTTTTGCTCATCTCCTCACTGCCATCATAGTTTTTAAAATCTGAAATGCAACCAGACCTTTGCCTCCAGGCTGGGCAGCACCTTAGAGTGACGCAGCTCCCTCCATGTTTTATGTCCTTCAGGTGGTCTCCTTTACCCGTCTGTGAGGTTTGAACAGGCGTTAGGACGAATAAAATAAGAGCAGCTGACCATTTATGAATACATCGTTCAGTATTAAAGTGAGGTAAAAAAAAAAAAGACTTTGTGCTTAAGTCATGTGCACCGATCCTTCTTCAGTGTCCGTCCAAGTGACAAGGTTACAGTAGACAATGGGTAAGTGCAAATGTTTGCAGATGATGCATGCAGGGTTGTTTACATGTTGAGAATTTCCCTGGGGCTGCTCATATTTCTGATGACAAGGTGTAGAAGTCAGAGAGTCTGCTGATGACAATCACCTTTGTTTGGCCAGAGAGGCTCACTGTGTCTTTCTCTGAATGCCCTTCTCTTCCTGTCCTGTCCCTGAATGGATAAAGGTTTATGAAAATGACGGACAGATCGTAGCCACACATCAACACACCTCACCCTTCCCACGACCAGGAGGCCATTTGTTTAGTAAAGCCAAAAAGGGACTTGCTGTTTACCTTACATTGGGAATCAAATTAGCATTCAAATGCCTGCCACTCACTGGAAGCCATATTTGCTCTGTAACAAATTTCACTCCCCCTCCGTCACCTGGTGGTCCCAGGCCTGACCACACCCGGGAAATCCAGGGTTGAGATTTGCATGGACACATAGAGCACACAGGGAAGGGCCTTCCGCCTGATTGAAATGACAAAAGACCAGGGTAATTCATTTCTGGCACCGAACATCACCGGTGTCACCCGAGGTCTGGATAAAAAGGCGTCTGATTGTAAGAGTTTTCACTGATGACGAGTGTCGTGACGATGAGTTGTAGTCGGCGGCAGGTCTTGTGGAGCCTCTTCCTTCTCAGTGTTTACCCTCTGCCTCAGTCGTAACGTATGACGAAGGTGTTGTTGCCACAACAGACGGTCACAGATCACAGACCGTCAGTAAACCTTTGTATAAAATCTAAATGGCCTTCATTCAGTCTCACAGTGTTTACTACAGTGTTGGTTCTGTGTGTGACACAGAGGAAGTTTATTATGTAAAGGATTGAATGAGCTTTAAAGGAGTAATGACATTTGGTTTGTACCAACTGCAGTGTTTTTAATAGAATTTAGCTGAGCTATAAAAAAAGCTGCACTCCATTTATAAGTTCAATGGACGATTTGAAATACATAATATTAGACACATCAAATATAATACTAAATATTTGTATGTATATACAATATAATTTTAATGTGATAACATTTAATTTTTTTAAATTCGATTCAATTTTATTTATAGAGCACATTTCAGACACCAGGCAAACTCCATGTGCTTTACACTGGTTTAAACCATTAAAATGGCAAGAGAGCGGGAAACAAAGAAAAAAGAAAGAAGCGGTAACAGAGGTGAGCGCCCCCTACCCTTATTGACACTCACATCGGCTGAGGAACAACTGCCGAAAAAAAAACCCTTAATAGGGTTTAAAAAAAAAAAGGAAGAAACCTCAGGGTGACAGACAGAGGAGGGGATCCTCACCCAGGACGGGCAGGCGGGCAGTAGCAAAAAAATCTTTTTTTTTTTTTAGTACAGAAGAGGCAGGATTATGGAGGGGGTCCTGGATCCAGAAACAGCATCCATGGGGTCCAGGAGGGGAGGAAACACAGAGACTCCGAGGAGCAAATTAGCATTTTAACTTTAGTCTTCACACATTAAAACACATGGAAGAGCGCGCACCACGTATACATGCAGGACCAGCAATAACAAAACACAACTGTTTGTCATATGAAGTCATATTTATTTTATCAGGAATCATTGTGATGAGTTACCATCATGGACGCTCCACTTTAGGTCATCACATTAAGGATATGAATTCTTTGACAGGCCTGGTGTGTTAGGGCTGTAATGATATATTTGTGTTTGTGTTGGTGCCCAACTGTTGGGCACAGGTACGGGTCAGATGTACTGAACCACCCACAGCCCACATCAGGAGTGTGTTTTCTTACACACAAATCAGGATCTGAAAACAAAAGCTAACTGAAACTGTGATAGAGCAGGTCTAGGCTTACAAGCTCATGCTGGCATGTTTCTCTTCCCCCGTGTTACATTATTTATTTTGGGATTAATCTATAAAGGCATTGCAATGTCATCAACTCTCATTTCAGCAGAGTGGACTTTTTGTTCGTGGTTTTTTTATTGTTTGGCTTGTTGTCTAGACGTCAGTCAAGAGGAAGATGAAGCTAAACCTGTGAAATTGCAGGTGTCTATGCAAATGTGTCCGTGCGAAGACAGTCACCCACAGTTTGTTCATCACACTCAGCCAGTGAATGCTGCAGCTTTTGTTCCAGCTTCAAACTGACAGGGGATTAACTGGTAAAGACATGGGTGGCAGTTTTTTTATGATTTACCAAAACAGAATATTTGGCCGCATGTTCCATGGTGTCAAGTATTACTATTTGCAGTACGTATTAACAACAATAACAGTGACTGTGTTTGTCTTCTTCCTCTTGTCGGGGTCTGGGTCGTAACAGTGAAGGTGGCAATAAAACAAATGTAAAAAAGGTCAGACCCGACTTGTCAGAACCTGTTCATCGAAATTATTTTCTCAGCTGTTAGATAGAGCTAGCTGTCAGCAGCTACTGTTTGGGCAAAGCTCTGACTGACACTTGATGAGGAGACTTTTGAGAATCAGTTGTAGTTCGCTGCAGTTTCTGGCTGGAGTCCTGGCCGCTGTGGATCCTGAGCAGCTGACAACGGCCCGTCCATGTCAGCCGGCAGCAAAAATATTTACACTTGGACCCAATCAACTCAGATCATCTCTGTTGACTTGTAAGGAGTGTTGCCACAACAGATCAAGTGCTGCTTTTCACAGGATGCTGTCTGTCACGCTACATTGTCCACCGTCTCACCTTTATACAATCAGTGTGGACTGGAAACAGATCTGCAAAAATGTACACAAGTTCAACAAGAACAGTGGTTAAAAGAGAGTCATGGTGACTTTTTATGATAAAAGTCATTGTGGTGGCTTAGTGGGTAAGGAAGCGGACTTGGGTCTGGAAGGTGGCAGGTTCGAATCCACCAGCTGCTCTGAGCAAAACTGTTCACATTGGTGATGGGTTAAAAGCAGAGGTCACAGTTGGTTGTGTCACAATGACAAGGAGTTCACCTTCGTTCCTTTCAAGATAGTAGTTAGTGAAGTGGATTGTCTTGTCCATCACTGAAGTTTAATTTAAAATTAAATTCAAATAAATGTAAAAAATGAGATAAAAAAAAAAATGTCAATGTCAATTAGTCTTAAGAACTCTCTCTAATAATTAAAGACATGTTTGTCCTTTTCCATAGAAATGTAAACCTTTGAGCTAATTCTACCCCTGTCTTCACAGTGAGGGAACGACACACGTGTGCACTTCTCACTGTATACGAAACATGCTTCTTGCTGACTTGCAAAACAGAAAGCATACTATGTCCATACTGCTGTCAGTACTGTCTCACACGTTCTGTGTACATTGTACCACTTGCCCCTGGCTGTGGCCTGTTTTTGTGCGACCTCCTTTATTACATGTGCCGATGCCTGACTGAAAATATTTTCCGTCTGAAGACGACACACTTGGAGAAACTCACTAAAATGAGGTGTTCTCCATAAGAAAATAAATGTCACACTTTTGCTCCGTTCTCTGTCCATAACTCAGCCAGTCATTTTATTTATGCGGTCTGTTAGCTTCCTTTAAATCATAAAAGTGTGATTTAGGAAAGTCAAACTAACCGTTTGACTGACGTTAAACAACATGAGTATAAAACGCTGAAGTAAACTCTCAAGTCATTTCCTTCACAGATTCCAGCAGGGGATGTTTACCGAGGTCTGTGGTTGAAAATATTTCTTTCTAGTTACGCTGCCAGTGAGCGGCAGCAATATATTTTCAGGGCTTGGTAAACAAATACATTTTACTGACTGTATGTCCAGGGGTGTCAAAGATGAAACTGATGCTAGGACTCAGGGAGAATGGGTGAATGGACCAGGGTTGGAGGGTTAGAATTCTCACGTCTCAAGGAGGATTGAATGACAAAAATCTAAGGACTGAAATCCAGTTTCTTTAAAATGAAAAAAAGTCCTCTGAAGTACTGTTGGACCTCTGGTGCTGGTGCATTACAAATCTTGGAGCAACTCTATACTTGGGTTTTACGAATGTGTGGAACTCAAAACACACCATTTGGAAACGCCTAATTGACCAATCAGTGTCAGTTCTGTCCGCTTAGAAAGATTTCTGTTAAATATATTTCATACAGAATAAGAGTTTTACTCAGTCCAACTCTGACAACCTGGGCTAGACGTGAACATGGTCTCGGATCAGAAATGAGGTCAGACCGACGTTGGAGATGATCTGGAGGCTGAAGCCTGTCAACATTATCACATCCACATTTAATTTCCCTCCTACTTTTTTATACTCTGCAGCATCTTTGGCTTCTACAAGGGAATCCTACCTCCGATCGTGGCAGAAACACCAAAGAGAGCTGTCAAGGTGAGATCAAATGTTGGCTTTTTTTGTTTGTTTGTTTTCTTTGTTTTTTTTTTTTCAGACAACTCAACGGAGCTTGACGTTTATTGACACAACGCCCTGTGACCCGACTCTATAACTTAGTGAAAACAGTTGGACAGCAGTTGGTCTAACGTGGTGTGTACATGCTGATTAAACACTCGACGCCCTCTGCCAAACCTCCTTCTCGGACACTCCTATTTGTTTAGTCCAATTACCAAATATTGATCTACAAGCAGTAGGGCTTTCTCCTGAGCTCAATCGTATGTTGGCATTTCTCTGTTGAATTTTCTGCATGTACTGAAGGTGACGGGGGTTAAGTCAGGTTTGGGCTCAGAGGAGGCCCGGTGCCTGGTACGAAGCTGCTGCTAATGAGATGTTGGAGACAGAGACGTGTGAACTAATAAGTGTTCACACTGAGAAGGTTGTGTAATCACATAGGTGGTGAACAGAGCTGGATTATGGGGAGAAATGTCTGGAGCGAGGAATTAAAGCAAATTAAAAGCTCGGTTAAAAAACACCTCTGCTGGGTTTCTGGCCTTTGGCCTCTGCAGCGACTGTCTCCTGTTGAGAGTGCACGGCACATGAAGCTTAACTCTGAGATTGAAATGGTTTTAATTGTGTTTTTCTGAGCTGATGTCATGTGTGCTAGATTCCTCCTGGGTTTATTTAGGGTAACAGCATCCACTCGCGTGTCTTTGTGTCTTTAGTCCTGTGTTTTTCTACATTTTAAGCCTGGTTCCTGAACGGGGGTCGTGTGATGCTATTTTTACGCAACTTCATTTGAAAGAGAAGGATTAGAGACAGCTGGATTGGTTACACACCTGTTTAACGGCCTGCTTCCTGTGCCTTTACCTTTAAATGGTAATGAACCACTGCCTGCTCCGTCCAACTCGTCAACATTTGAGCAGTAAGAAAATGAATGGCCACCAGTTTGTTAGCAGATTTCATGGGAATCGGGCAGAAATATGATTTGATGTTTCTCTTTGGCGTGCGTGAGCAGACGACTGCTGCAGCAGAGCCGTTTATGTTTGAGCCAGAGTGAGAGCCACAAGAAGAAGGAAGACGAGAGACTAACCAAAGCCTCGCTCTCTGCCTCCTCCGTGTTCTTACAGACGGCCATCCACCTCTACTGCCCCTAGTGTTTACATAGTATAGCTCGTATTCATTAAGTGATGATTAGCAGCCGTGTTTAGCTTTTGGGTTTTACATGATAGCTGTCCGGCGGTCGTGTACTTGAGTAATACTGAACTTGGAGTAGTACCATGTGTGGAGCTACCTTATTATATTCATCCCCGTTGTGACTCCGTGAAGCAGGTGAAGTGGGATTGGCTCGTTTAGAGACACATCTCCAGATTTTGCCCAGTTTGTTGTAGAAGACACTCCAGAGACACAGATACAGGTGCCAAAGCGTTTACATACTGTACCCCATTAGAAACTAGCTACCTCAATGAAGACACAAGTTCTCCCTCGGTACAAGAGCGAATACTCAACAGCGCCTTTGTATGGACGCTGGTGGAACTGTGATCTCCTGACGCTCGTTGACTCCAGTCTCTCTTCTTCCCGCAGTTTTTCACGTTTGAGCAGTACAAGAAGTTGCTGAATTTGACGCCTTTGTCTCCTGGACTGGTGAGTCTCACACACAGATACACCTGAGTACACTTTTGTCTACACGCTCATGTAAAAATGTTCAAAATCAACATTTGTCCTGTGCTGCAGCAGGCAGAGGAGACAAGGATTAATGCCAAGAATAACTTTACCAGTCAAATGAAATCATGTAAATGTAACCTGTGCTGCCGGTGCTCATTAATCACGGCCACGTTTTGTTCAAATACTGTTAATGCAGCAGTACGTGTGGAGAATTTATTATTCATCTATTCAAATTATTCAGCTCGATTTAGCAGCGCGGATTTGTGTTGTCATAAATATAAATTTGACAGCTGAATTCCCCTCTCACGTTAGCACTGTTGTAATGAATTAATTTCAAGTGGGCCCTGATAGCAACAACAGTTCTGTCAGGTGTTAGGGAGGTGTTAGAGTTCATCATATACTGTAGTTAGTTATTCATGGTCCGTCGACCTGCTGTTTTACTAGAGTAGTTTCAAATATTTTCTATTCCTGTCTCAACGTGTTCATTTGTACGTCGTTGATCTTCAGTAAAGTTAGGGTCGTTTCATGTGTGATGTTTCAAACTCCGTCGATGACGACGTACATTTGGAGCTAAGCTGGTGCAGAAAAATGCATATTTTGGTTATTTAGGAAGTAGCCAGAAACTACAAGTATCAAATGTGATACGATTACACAGCAAAATATCCAGATTTTTTTTAGAATACTTTTCCAATTGATTTACCGTGGACTATTGCCTTGACGTTTAGCAATAGCATGGCTCCAATTTTAAGTCATTAACATTCAGCCCAGTATTTCTTGGCCAACATTGAGATGTTTTAGGTTAGGGTAGGTGAGGTTATTTTTGCTTCTTCCATACCAAAGTTACTGTATGCTCCATTAACCGACGAGCCTAACGCTTTGATTTGTCTTTTTAAAACTTGCAACGTCTTGGGGACAAATTTTGAACGGTTATCTTCCTCAACTTTAGAAGATTCAGTGAGTTAAAGTTTGGATGGTGTGGTGAAATGATTGGCAGTTTTGTTTTAGTGTATGGGGAAACGGAGCCCAGAGCCAGACGGACGCTGCGTGTTTGTGTTCCTCTGTGACGGCTGAGGCCACAGGCATTGTGTTTTTTGGGTTGTCCAGCACATTTATTTCAGAATGCCTCGGGGGATTTCAAATTTGGAACAACACTCTTTAACTTACACTTGCATTTTAAAACACAGAACTGGAGCCAATGAAGGTCAAGGTCACTGTGACCTCACAAACTTTCTTGCCTTTGTGCCGAAGTGTTATTTGGGAAACTCCTCTTTCATTTGGCCCATTGTCTTCACTTGGAGTCCAGGATGAACTCATGTGGTTTTCTGTCCAGAGGCCGAGGCCACGATCAGCCTCACAAAACATTTTACTGGCCTCCTAAATATTGAATTCCTTTAAGTCAACATCTGCGTGCTGCGATGCAGACTCTCACTGCATTGATGAGAGGAAATATAAAAGCCGCTGGATGATAAATTCATGTTTTATTAATCTTGTAGGATCATATTTAGTCATCGTGCATTTTATCAGCTTCTCTGCTTTGCCAATTCCTGCAGATGTTACTCTCACAGTATAGATCAACACATGTGCTCTGACTGACGACCTCTGTTAGGAAACCAATAAATCACAGTCAACAGAGATGACAGTTCAGGGAGAACAGAGAGATAGAAAGATAGTTTTTGTTTTAAGAACAATTTTTTTTTTTTAAATACTGAGACCGAACAGGCAGAAAAGATCTGCACATTCACAAAACAGAAACAGAAGAGAAACGTGGTGAGAAACCAGTCATTTTAACCCTGCACGGACCGAAGATTTCTGTTTGTCTCAGGTTAGCATCAGGTTAAAACCAATATTGATTTTTACTGTCAATACTGATAAATTCTGTGGTGACATCCAGTGAATTAGCCATGAAAAAAGTCCCGACTGATTTTTGTGATTTGAAAATCTGGCCACACAAAATGTATGATTTGAGAAATCAAATCAAAAGTCTTAACAAAGACCTTCATTTCTAGGGACTTACCTCATTGTGGTAATTTCCTTGTTACTTCATTGTTTACACACTGTGATAAAATGTTCCACTGAAGGAAACACGGAAAATTACAAAGAGAAGAGTTCAATTGTTTTCTTGGCAGTTGTTAATTCAGGAGGACTGGTCGAACCACAGGCCACAGATGAACACGTGCCTTCATCCTTGTCAACTGTTCCGGTTTCTGTTTTATTGAGTCAGAGTTTCACGCTCAACACTTTGTGTTGCAAAGTTGCTGAGGTGCGGTCACCACACATCGACTATTCAGGTTGGCGGACAGATGTCAGCAGTGATGGATGACATACCTGCAGCTTGGCTATAGAGCCGGTCTGTCCCGGCTCATGGCTTCAGCGTGTTTTGTCAGCCATTGGTCGAGAAATGTTTACCTGTCGCATCCATCATGCTCTCTCCTCTTCCGCCTCCGTCTCGCTGTCTCCCACCTCCTCCTTTAAGGAGCTCCGACTCCATTTCCCCTCGGAGGCCCGTGCGTATCAACTACTGTAATCACTTCTGATCATTAGAGCCAGTGAATTATCGGTTGGTCTCGGTGTTTCTCTCTCTCTCTCTCTCTCTCTCTCTCTCTCTCCTCATGGCACAGCTGAAAGCTTTCACTCTGATTAATGAGGACACACACCATAATAACACAAATAAGGAATTAAAATGTGGCTGACTGGCTGTGTAAACACTGCGAGGCCCGTCTGAGAGGATGGGACCTGGGGCTCTGACAGCAGGATAAAGAGGCAGGAAGACTAATGAGCTAGAGACACGTTCTTGACATGTTCCCATTACACTTCACTCTCAGCATGCGCGCACACACACACACACACACACACACACATGCACAAACTTTCATATGGACATACAGTGCATCCCAGACGTGCGGGCACGGTTGCCATATTCACTCATTTATGACTTGTCAGGAATGTGGGGGGGGGTTCCACTAATGTGATCATTAGATGTTAAATGTCAAAGCAGTGTAGTAGAGTTAGTGGTAATAACAGTAATAACATTCATATCATCAGTCTGTACACAATATGTTGTTAGAGCTGCAGCTATTGGTTATTTTTGTAGTCAGTTGATCTAGTCAAAAAAAAGGCAACACTGAAGAAGAGGACATGTCTGAAACTGTCATAAAGAATATACATGTAAATAAAAGTATACATATATGTACATGTAAATATGTGTATATATATATATTTATAACTGTATATATGTTGTTTTTGTGTGACACAACAGTGGATTCAGTGTTGAGCTGCAGGAAAACTTACTAAATGTATAATACAGGGAAACTGTAACCACTTTATTTCAACTTGAGTTATTTAAATGTCATTTCTTGTGTTTAATTTCTTCAGTGTGATCGTTTCCATCTTACTGTATATTTCCAGGTCCTGCTAAAACCAATGGTCATGTTGTTTCTGATCTTCTTTTTCTTTTTTCTTACTATGTTGCTGCTTTTCTCACATTCTTATATCTTTGTTCTCCCCTGGCGTCTGTCACCTGACATTTTTCTCAAATCATAACAAACACAGATGTCATGTGCGTCTAAAGACATTTGTCAACTGACACCAAAGACGAGGGGGGGTGTGTGACATAGATGTCACTTTCAGACTAAGGAGAGAGTTGAGTTTGAGAAATGAGACTTGGATAAAGATCGGTGTCGTCACGGCGTGGACACGGAGGCAGACGGTCTTTCTTTTAACCACTTGTTGTGTCTGTCTACTGTCTGTTTCCTGTTTTCTTAACTCGTGTCCATCTCCTCACACCAGGCACTGTCTGCAGCAGGACTTGGCGCAGGCTTGACCGAGGCGGTTGTTGTCAATCCATTCGAGGTGGTGAAAGTCAGCCTGCAGGCCAACAGAGATGCCTTCAAGGAGGTTGGTCGGAGTCAAATACTGTCTTTACGAGACACGTGATGTGTTGTGATGAGGTGTGTTTTCCTCCAACAAATGTGACTGTCCTCTGTCTGCAACACAGCAACCTTCCTCATTCGCTCAAGCCAGACGCATCATCAAGTCAGACGGTTTTGGGCTGAAGGGTCTGAACAAAGGGTTGACGTCGACACTTGGACGCCATGGTGTTTTCAACATGATCTACTTTGGCTTCTACTTCAACGTCAAGGATGCTATTCCCACCAACCCTGTAAATATCACCCTCAAAGTCACCCTCTGTCGTACTCTTAACTTTAATTTCTCTCTTTAGCTTTCTGTGTTTTAGTTTCAGTTTTAGCTGTGACCAATGAGAAGCTTGGACAGTAGATATGGTTCACTCCAGCATTTGCCATTTAACGCTGCCCCTGACAAATGAACAGTGTGTTCGAACCCTGGTCTGTCCAGTTGAAGGTGCTGCTTCACTGGAAGAACGCTGAGCCTCAACAGCAGCTCTGTGTTTCAGACATGGCCAGACGTCTCCTTTATTCTGGGTAACATTGACTACATTATATATTTCCCTAACACGGAGCTACATGATACCCACACGTCCAGCCACTTTGGCTGTGGGGAGCAGCAAGTGTTTGACAGTGTGATTAGTCAGCCCGACTGCCGGGGCGAGGAGGAAGTAAAAAATCAGAGTGGAGTTGGTGAGATCAGCTGCACTAATACCTCGTCCATTTGCCCCTCATAACATCCTCAACATCTCAGGTTACACATCCGGCAGGGCCTGATGGCCCCAACAAAAGTTAATTTTGTTTAATGGAAACGTTACCATACGCCAGTTCCACATGTACAAACTGGAGCATTAGATTAAGTCCAGTGAACTAATTGGAAGCAGACAACGGTGCTAGTTCTGAAGAGAAGGTTACAGTGGGAGTCCAGGCCCGGCTGTGTTTTCAGCATTCTTTCCAGTGACGCACAATGCAGAGAGAAGCCAGTGGTGGTCATCCTCTGTGAATGATAATTATGTGGCTGGATGACTCAAATAGCTCCGTCCTCAGATTGTGGCTGTCGCTGTTGGAGTGGATCCACGGCTACGGGCATCGATGGCAGGTTCCTGTTTGTGAGAGGCTAACGGCGGCCATTGTTGGGGCAGCAGAGGATAAATATTGTGGTCTCTGCCCCGGCTGATAGGCTGAGCTGATGGTGACATTTCTCCAGAGCAACCTGAGCAACGGGCTAACAGCTCAGCCCCCCCCCTGCCCCCCCCCCCAGTTACGTGTCCCTCATATTTGAATGGTGCAGATAGCCCACTGCCGTCCTCCACAGGTGAAAAGTGTCAGATGTTTGCTTAAGGCTCTTAGGAAGTGGGTTGATGGGTGTACTTAAGCTGTGGCCACCTTAGCCCCCCCTCAACCCCCCCCCTCCGCACATCCCACTTGAAAAAACCACCAGCTGGATTAGCTGTTGATTTACCTCTTCTCTCAGGGTGTCCGGCCGCTTGAGAAAGGCCTGGACCAGAGAGGCTGCTGTCATTTGTAAAAATATCCTGGCCAATTAGCTGTCAGAGCTCTCTGAGTCTGGGCTTCTTTGGTACAGTAATACCCCTGTGCCAAGTCACAGCCCAATTACCCAAATTGTCCCCATATGCCTCCCCGGTCCGCCTGCATGAATGCTGTTTATAAATCCTCTCTCTGGGCTCCCCGGAGAACATGTGCTTCTGCTCAGCCAATCAGAGCGCTGCACTACAGTCAGGAAGCACTAATCTGCCCCCCGCTACCATTAAATGATCAGGGCTTTCATGCCGGCTTTGCAATCATATGTACAAGTCAATGCTTTCCTCACTTTCTTTTTCAAGAAAAAAAAGGCGGAAAGAAAAAGTCAATTCACCCAAAGAAGAGGAGATTTATAAAAAAAAGAAGTTTATTGAAATGCAAATGAACCCATAGAAAACAAACGAAGTTTATTGAAATGCAAATGAACCCAAATCATGTGTCTACTCTATGTGTATACAAATACACATACAGTATACACATGTATACATACGTACATCATTCATTTACCTGTACTTGTACATGGGGCAGTTCCATTATTCTGCCCCAGCCTCCTCCGTGTCTTGATTTTTGCCCCTCCTCTGTGTCAGGACCCGACCCTGGAGTTCCTGAGGAAGTTCACCATTGGCCTGGTGTCTGGGACCATCTCCTCCTGTGTCAACATTCCCTTTGATGTGGCAAAGAGTCGAATCCAAGGTCCTCAGCCTGTGCCGGGAGAGATCAAGTACCGCACCTGCTTCCAGACCGTGGCACTGGTGTCCCGGGAAAAGGGGTATGAACCGGAGGGGGGGGGATAAGAGTGAGGGTGATGGAACCCTTCAGTTATCACTGGGCATCGTTGACAGTG